GATTGAGAAAGTCACTTTTTTTTTTTTTTTTGGCAGTACTGGGGTGTGAACGCAAGGCCTCATGCTTGCTAGGCAGGCCATCTACCACATGAACCACTACATTGGCCCCGTTTTGTGTTGGGTATTTTCAGGAGAGAGTCTTGCAAAACATTTGCCTGGGTGGTTTTGAACTGCCACCCTCCTGATCTCTGCCTCCCAAGTAGCTAAGATTACAGGCATGAGCCTCAAATGCCCAGCTGAGAAAGTCACTTTTTTAGCAAGTTGAAGGGTGAGAAGAGATTACAGGAAGACTTAAGCAAGGAAACTCTTTGGGGAGAGAAACATGTGCAAAGGCACTGGGGCAATGAAGGCCCATGTGCATGGGAAGAGACCAGATGTCTCACAAGCTGAAATGCAGACACATTCCACAACTGTCCTCTCCTGCTGCCCTCCACGGGAGGACATGCTTGAGTCTGGACCACTGACCCCTTCCCCTGTGACAGGCATCTTCCCAAGTGACCAGGATGCCTACATAGTTGGTGTCTCCCATGGATGGAGGCTTGCCAAGAACCACGGAGATATAAGGCTCAAATTTTCTTCCTTTCTCTTTCTTTGGTTTTTAGAGAAGTGATGTGAAATTGGAAGAAGGGAGGAGAATAGCTGCTACCTGTCCTGATCCCACTGGTTTTCTGAGGATGGCCCCTCTGGAAGCAGAGACCCCCTGTGACTTTCAGGAGGTCCAAGGGCTTCTGCCAGCTTGCCTAGGCCACACACAAATCCCAGGCTCCTGGCATCCAGGCTAGCAGCTCTCATGTCCACTTCATACTCTCCAGTAGCTTCAAAGCCTGGCTGAAACTCTTGGAGGAACTGAGGCTGGGGCCCTCCAAGTGTCCACTTCTGTCTTCAGAGTCCTGGGATTCAAGCAGCAGCAAGGGCTGTGGGTGTAATTCATGAGGAAATGAAGGTCTAGGCACTTCCCACAACTGGGAACCTGCATGCTGTGGCCGGCTGAGCTCTAGGCTGGTGATCTACCCACGTTTTGCAGTTGGCCAAGAACCTGTGTGCACTGCAGAAGTTCATCTGGGGTCAGTGAGGGCAAAATCTAGCTGTGTTCACCAAGTTGTATGCCCTGGCAACCAGGAGCTGTCTCCATGGGACAAGGAGGTACCCTTCACAGAGTCACCATAGAGATCAGAGAGTGCCTTGGGAGGGTGGACAGAAAGCTGGGATAGTTAATAAATTTCATCTTGTGGGTCAGCTCCACCTTCTTGGGACATGGAGGGCAGTGCTGAGAAGGAAGCTGAAGTCAGGCCTGGGAAGTTCTGTGCTTGGTGAGGGCTGTCCCATGTGGGGGATGGGATGTCAGGGCAGGCAGGAGAATATTTACCATTTTGCCCTCTAGGCTGTAAATTGACACCTTCTGTGTCAACACACAGTGCACTGGCATCCAGTGCCTGGCCCTGGCCCCAAGGAGAGGCAAATCTCAGTCTTGCTTTGTTGGAATCCTGAGGCTGTGAGACAGGCACACAGTAGCCTCCAGAGGGCTGGGGATTCCTTTGCATGGTAAGGAAATAAGCAACATCAATTTGCACAGGACTGTGAAGCCTTGTCTTCTTCCTGCTCATTTCTGCTGCCTCTCAGGTCCAAACTGAAGGCTGGCTCTCTCCCAAAGATGCTCTGCTTCCTCTCCTTTCTCAACTTTCTCTGGCTCCTCTGAGCTCAAAGCTCCTGGTTTGAAACCACCAACATCTATGAGACCTGTTGCCTGAATGACTTCAGAGGCAGAGATGACCCTGATTCCTCTTCCCTCATCTCTTCAGATAAATTGAATATTACTATTATTGAAATGGTCGATACAACCCTTCCCTGCCATGTGATTGCTTACGGCTAGCAAGTGCCCTCCTGTTCATGCCCTCATTTGACCCTGCTAGTGCTGGAGAAGTGGGAATGATGGAATAAACATTCCCATTTATTGACTGGACAAACTGCAATTTACAGAGAGGGCAGAGACTTGCTGGAGGTCACGCGGCCAGTAGCTCTTGTCCAAATCCTGTCTTCTCTCCATTGCCCCATTCTGGAGACCATGGAGACCATGGAGGAAGCGGGTAGGGACTCATCCTCACCTAGGAGTTCCTTCCTACCTTCAGTTCTGAGGTAACACATGGAGCAAGAACTGCTACCCCCCCAAGTCTGCTAGATTGGGACCTGTAAGAAAGGAGAGCTGGGCTGTGTTTAGGAGCAGATGACTTAGCTGTCAGACTTAATGGGTGACCCTGGCAAGTTCCTTTAGTCTGGGCCACAGTGCCTTCTCCTCTGAAAAGTGGGGGGTGAGGACCCCTGACTTGCTCATGCACAGATTCTTATAGTGTGTGTATGCTAAGGTGGGGAGGCAGAGATGGGGTCTGGCCCAGTGTTGCAGACTGGTACCTAGGCCTCAGCTTCCCAAGACCCACAGCCAGTGTTGTCTTGAGAATTCTGCAGCATATGTCTCCAGCAGTCAGCTGAGGGGCTGACCCCAGGTCAAACAGCTGCTATCCAGGCAAACTGCCTGGAGGTTGCTTACATTTATCGATTACCTATTGGGCACAGAGCTCATGTGTTAGGCAGGTGTGCTGTGGGCAGGTGAAGGGAAAAAGGTACAAACCCACAGAAAACATTCAGGCTTCAAAGGGAGTAAATCTAGCCATCCATCTATCTACCCAGCCATCCAGTCATCGACACAGTAAGTATTTCCTGATCAGCCACTATCCATGCACAAGGCTCTGTTTGGGAACTGTGGGGAAAGGGAGAAGAGAAAGAGGCAGAGGCCATGAGTGGGGTCACCAGGGATGATAAGCATTCTAGTGGCACCAAATCACTCTGGAGGCCAGGGCAGGATCAGAGAAGGTGTCCTAAACAGGTGTCAGACTCTTAGCCTCAAGGCTAGAACATGACAGAAGTATTTTGTTTGGCTATCACTTTAGTTTCTCACTAAACTGGTCCCATCATCACTTATTTATTGCCTTATACCTGGTGGTTACCTGCCTGACTCCTAAAGGAATTTGGATTTGCAACCCATAGTAGGGAAAAATGTCAGCACTTCAATATAATAATGCCACCTTCATCCAGGAGGTGAATGGAGGGGGAGAGACAGAAAGCTCTGGGATGGAGATGGCTGCCTCAGGGTCTCCTCTGGGTTCCCCATCTACCTGCGTGTACAACTGAAGACATCACCTCTATGAACAGCAATTTTCTTTATAAAGTCTTGGGACAGTCTATAAATCCATGGTTCCAAATTCCACCTCGGTAGTCCTGGAAGCTCAAAGGCAGCACCAGAATTCTAGAGGTGGCCCAGAATATTTCTAAGAGTAAAATGGTTATCATATTTCTTCCCAACAGCCATTTCTCTTCTCTTTAAACAAATAGGCTTAATGCTGCTTAAAAAATATAAAGGGTACTGTATAGATATTCTTTGATGAATTAAAGTGTCCAGATATGACTGATATGCATTTTATCATTTGTATTAATAATTGCAAATTATTTTATAGACAAACTCAAAACATGGTGATCTGAGATCAAAGGGGTTCTTGACTGATGGGACACAACAGCAGTGGTCACCATTGAACACCATTCTGGTCCAAGCATCCATGGATGTGCTTAGGTGCCTTGCTAGATCATGTAATAGGATAAATCTCCGCAGAGAGGATGGCGGCAGAGAACTGACCTTTATGGAATATCTTCTGTTTATCAAACCCAAGCAAACTCACAAAACATCCCCAGAGTTAGGATGGTGGTCATTCCCATTTTATAGAAAAAACAGGTTCGCTTGCAGAGGTGAGGTGACACTCAGAGGTTACTCAGCTGGCACTTGACCGCGGAGCGGATTGGTTCCAGAGCCCAACTGGAGGTGGGAGAGGTGACTTGAGTCCCAGCCAGACGGTCAGTTCCGCTGCGCAGAGCTGGCGCAGAGCGGGTTACCTCGGGACCACAACGAGGAAGGCCCGGGGGCTTCAGGGGGCGTCAGGCGAGGGCGGAGCTCCTCTCAGACAGATCTTGGTTCCCCTTGGCCCAGGCTGGGGTACTGGCTCCCCTCCAAGGGACCGGGGCAGGCTGAGGATGGAGCTGGGGGCGGAGGAGAGGGGTGAGAAGCTAGGCGGGCCCAGAGCAGAAATAGGAGAAGGGTGAGGGGGAGGAGAGAAGGGGGGCGGGGAGTCCTTCCTGGGGCAGGAACCCGGGCCCCCCTTGGCGCAGTCGGCCCGCAAAGCGATTCTGCAGATGGAAGGAATTAAGTGGGAGGGAGAGGTCCTACGGTGATAGCGAGAGAAGTGTGTGTGTGTGTGTGTGTGTGTGTGTGTGTGTGTCAGAGAGAGAGAGAGAGAGAGAGAGGTGGAGAGAGGAAACCTCAAAAGAGACGGAAATAGAAGAGATACGAGATAGGAGAGAAGACAGAGACAGTTACAGAAAGACAAGGAGACCTACAGCGAGAAGAGGAGAGAGAGAGAGACACAGAGAGAGAGAGAGAGAGAGAGAGAGAGAGAGAGAGAGAGAGAGAGAGAGAGAGAGTAGCGAGCGAAAACGAAATAATGAAATAATTAGAGTTTGGAGCCTGGAAAGAACTAGGGAGAGCTGACATTAGAGCGCGAGATTGATTAGTCCAGGGCAGTACTGAGCTCCCCGCCTGGCCAGGGAGCTGCGCGGCCCGACTGGGGGCGGGTGGGGCTCGGGAGGGGCGGCCCCTGGGCGGGCCACACGGTGCAAGTGTAGATGAGCCTTATTTCCCCCCTCGCCCCACCCCTATATCCATATTCAATGAGACAGCCAATGGGGGGAGAGAACAGGGCGACGGTGTAGGCGGGGCCTCCACGAATCCCACCCCGGGAGCGGCCCCTGGAGGGGTCAGCGCCAAGGCAGATAGCGGATCGCGGGGCGGGATGGGGCGGGATGGGGCGGGGCGGGCGGTGGGAGGGGCGGGGCCAAAAGTTTCCTTCCCAACTTTCGCAGCCTCCTTCCTCCGCCCGCGCGCGCACGAGCCACAGTCGGGGGGAGGCGGCGGTGGCGGCGGCTGCGGGCAGCGCGCGGGGCACAGGGCGCGAGGCGATCGCCGTCGGGGCTTGGGCGGCTGGCAGTGGGCACAGGCTCCCCGGTGCCCGCCCCTCCGCTGGGAGGGGGGCGAGAGCGGGCTGCCGGGGAGGGGCCGGCACCGCAGCGGAAAAATGAGCCTGCTGTCGGCCATCGACACGAGCGCCGCCTCGGTGTATCAACCGGCTCAGCTGCTCAACTGGGTCTACCTGTCGCTGCAGGACACACACCAGGCTAGTGCCTTCGATGCCTTCCGGCCCGAGCCGCCCGCCGGCGCCGCGCCCCCGGAGCTGGCCTTCGGCAAAGGCCGCCCGGAGCAGCTGGGCTCGCCCCTGCACTCCAGCTATCTCAACAGCTTCTTCCAGCTGCAGCGCGGAGAGGTGGGTGCCCCCGCGCGCTCCCGCCCTCCGCCCCACTGTGCCAGGCCGTTTCCTATCTGCCCCGCTCTTCCTGGCCTGGCCCAGGCCGGCTTCGCATTGCCCAGCTGGGCTTGGCTTGGCTTCGTTCAGCTCTGCCAAACTTGCCGCCCGAAGTCCCTGGGGCGTCGGGAGCGCGTCACCTCCAGGCAGAGCGGGCCGGGAGCAGCTCAGGCCTGGGCAGGGCCCTCCCGCCCCCTCTCCCAGTCCAGAGCCCTGCTCGAAGTAAGCTGGGAAGGGGGATGTCTCCGGATTCTTTCCGGACAGTCGAGGTGCGGCCAGGACGGGGAGCCCCTTCCGAGTGTCTTTCTTTCGTCCAGTCCTTATCCTCCTCCTGGCCACCGCTAGCTGGGACAGAGTGCAGATGCTGCTCCAAACTCCTGTGGAAGGGCCTAAAATCTTTTCTCAGACCTTCGTGGTTCCAGACCCTATAGCGCTCTGGAGAGCAGTGACTTGCCCAGGGGACTTTTCTTGCTAATACCACTCTGGGACCCCCAGATCCATCCTCCAGCTGCTAGCCCTCCTCCAGCCACATAGGAAGTGGTTTTTAAGGGCTTGACCCGCAGACTGCGCTGTCCCCTGCCCTCCCAGCTTGGAAGGAAATGAAAGGGAAATCCTTAGAGCTCTGGGGGGAGAGGGGGTAGATTGGGGGAGGGTTTCAGCTGCCCCAGCGCCTTCTCCAGAAACCTGGGCCTCCTGTGTCGCAAAATCTGCCTGTTTGGTGGATTCAGTTACAAAGTCTACTGGGCAGTGCCTCCTCCCCAGCTAGATAAATACAGATCACAGTGACCTCCCAGCATTTTTGAGGGGTCCTCTGCAGTGCTTTCTCAGAGTTCACTCTTATTTCCTACTGGACTCCTCCTTTCCTGCACCCGCATTTACTCCAGCTTCTTTTGGGAATAGCAGACACCCTCTCTGGCTTTCACTTGCTTCCCTGTGGTGGCTCTCTGCCAAGGTGCAGGAGGTGGGGGGCACACCTGGGGGTCATTTTCACTTTCCTTCTAGCCTTGAAGAGTCAGAGCATGAAATGGGGTGGGAAGAAGGCCTGTGTATGATAGGGTGTGCTGGGGGTGAGAGCAGAGGTAGAAAGTCACCCTCTCTGGCCTCCTATATGTGTTTAACTCTGCCATTATTTACTGGGGGTTTATGGACATATTAAATGCTGGCCTCAGCACCTCTTAAACTGTCCTGTTGATCTGTGAGATGGAACTGGTGTGGGGAGGTTGAGCATGGTAGAGGAAGATGAGGTTGGAAAGGTACCCTGTGGTGCCAAGTGAAAAATTTTCTATGCCAAAGCTCTTGTAAACTGTAATGCATACTTGCTCTCTGCTGTCTACATGAGGGATGGTTCTTGGCTGGGGATCTTCCTTCCTGTTAAGACATTTTGCCACCTCTTCAGGGAACTGACTTTAGGTGACCAGTGACTTTGGAGGACTGTTGTTGAGTGTCTCTTTAGTGCTTGGGTCTTTCTAGTTGTTTATTCTCTTACAAAACATTTGTTGATCTGAGGGGAGGGGGAGGTCTTCAAAGCCACAGGCTAGAGGAAGCCACAGATAAATAGGCAGACAATATGTGTGAGTGGCTAATGGCTGGACGGAGGTGCTGTCATGGTGAGTGATTGGATGAGGGTGTGCTCCAAGGGAGGGTGTCTCACCCAGGCAGGAGGTGACCATGGCCACAGGTCAAGTAGGGTCCCCAATTAGCCCCTACAAGTCTCTCTTTGCTCCCATCCTAGGGTGGCTTTGTCCCCCACATGTGGGTCTCTGCTACAAGACCCTGGGAGTTCAGGACCATCAGGAGTCCCCTGTGGGAGTAGAATGTTTTGCCTTTTCTTAGAAATTTCCAGCCTCTAGGATCCCAGCTGTAGCTCAGTGAGATCTGCCTCTTGCCACTTTGTTGCTGTGTACCTCAGTTTCCTCATTATGGGGCACAGTGTGGAAGGAATGGGAAAAGATTACTAAAACAGTGGTGGGGAAAAGTCTCTCATGATCTAACTTCAGGGAATCTCCTGTCTCTCTCTGGGCCTCATCTTGCCCATCTGATAGTCTCTGTTGTCCCCAGGGTGGTGTGTCTGAGATCGGAAACCTGTACAAACGAGAGAGCGTGTGCCTACAGATAGCCTGGGCCAGCGGAGATGAGAGGGGTTCCCACATGCACAGGCCATGGCTTCCTTGGAGGGCTGGAGGGCTGCGCCTGCTGACTTCCGGATGGCTCTCTTGGCTTCAGGCTCCCTCATCCTTGCCCCCACCCCCTTGGCCTCTTAAACACTCTCAGAGCCCCAGCTGTGCTCTCTGGGACAGGCCTTTCCTGCATCCAGGGCTTAACTGGTGACCTAATATGGTTCCATAGTAGCAACTGGCTGAGAAGGCAAGAAGAAATAACCCCCACTTCAATGCCACCAAGAGGCTGGGCACAGAGCGACAAGTTCTGTGTGGGCTGGAGGGGACTCTGTGATGGGACCTGGGGCCCAACAGCATTGCCATTCTGTGCGAGGCCTGGCAGGCCTGGTGGCAGTGCCTGCGGATGTGACTTGCATGCTGACCGCTGACCACAGCCTGTCTGTGCCAGCCCCTGTGCCAAGAGCCCACCCCCTCCTGTACCGCCCCCAGGCTGCTCCCTCCACAATAGCAAAACACCATGAATGCAGCTGGCATTGGGGGAGGTGAGGACATGGGGGCACAGAAGCCCATTGTGCCCCTGGAGCTGTAGCCCTGGAAGCTGAAGATAAGCCAAGGGTTCTAGTGGCACAGTGGCCCTGGGAGCAGAGAGGGAGGTGGCAGAGTTCACATGAAAGGGCAGGGCAGGCACCAGGCAATGACCTTAAAGTGGACACAGGCACCTTGTGCAGTTTCTTAAAAGCTGTCTGGGTCCAGGAATGAAGCCCTGTGACCCCCCCACTCAGAAACCAGATCTGTGGCCTCATTATGTATCTCTGGAGAGACTCCTGAGGCCCTTGACTGAGCCCCTTCTCTCTCTCTCTCTCTCTCAGGAACCCACAGGTGGCAGTCTTGCAGGAGGCAGGGTGGGGGGGGGATCATTGAGCTGCATGGGATCTTCCCTGCCAAGTTCTGTTTGGAATTTAAATTCCCAGCAGGGCGGTGGCTGTGGATTCCACCTCTGGGAAAGCAGAGTAAAGCATTACCTCTTGGGTCCCTTGGAGGAAGCCTGTCCTCAGAGTCCATCCTGGAACCCCACCCATATCCCCCACCCCCACCAAGAGGAAGTGGCTGTCCTCCTCCATCCAGATCCTACTATTACTCTTTGTATGGCTGTTTTCGTTCTCTTTTCCTCCAGGGACAGAGGTAGCTGGAAGGTATGGCCCTAGTTTGTGGATGTTGGAAGAAGATTTTGGGTTCAAATACAGTAAAGCCCAGTACCCTGTCCTTCCTTTGGATTCATACAATGCCCACTACCACAGTAAAGGCTCTGAGAAGTCCTGCAGTACAAAACATGTTAACAGCTATTTAGCCAAACATTTCCATACCTATTTGATTAGAGAACATTTTTGGCACAGGACACCCACTAGTGTTCTTCCAAACATCTCCAGGTCCAGGGATGCTCCACAGAGCCAGACCTCTCTGTGCTGTATAGCTCCCAACTTTAGGAAGCGTTCCCCAGAGTCATAAACCTGGGTGCCCTCAGGTCCTAACGTTATCTTCAGCAGCCTTGCAGACCCTTGGCTCTTTGCTGCCAAGAACCCCCCACCAATTGAAGATTTGGGAGTGGCAGCCAGGGTGTCATGAGACTTAACAGACGGCCACTTCCCAGGGTCTTGAGCCTTTCTGAACAGAGGTGGCTCTTGGAACTGTTAGGGGAGCTGCTATTGTGTCATGCATTTCAAGGATGCAATCAGGATAGTTTCCTGGAATTTGGATGCATCACCTGTGCCCACATGTGGTGTAGATGAGCCAAGGGATGGCCATTGTGGATGTGTGGAACAAAGGTACATTTCTGCCTGAAGGTGTAAGGCGGAAGGGCTGCCTATTGGGGATTGAGTGGCCTGCAGGGGCTGACATCGTTGTTAGTCTGTGTGAGATGGGGGGCTGAGGTTCAAGGAGTGTTTCTTTGTGCCTGGGAGGATGGCCAGGGTAACCTAGCTGGGGAAGATTCCTCAACTTCTTGGCCACCCCTGAGAAACCGAATGGTGACTCAGGCAAAGAGGCCATCACTTGAGAGGCTATTGGCAGAGGGAACCTGACCCATCAAATTAAGTTGACCAGGTTAGGGGGAGGGGGCGGGGAGGGTAGTCTAGAGGGAGACCACACCTCGGGGCCCTTCTGAGTCTGGTGGAGAGGAAGCAGACATTAGTAATTAGTGACTAGCAGCAGCTGAGCCAAGCTATCAGTACCAACGGCCCACAGAAGTGGTGGTCAATGGATAACAGTCCCATGCTCTTGTGTGGGGCTTTGTTCTTAGACACTCCACTTTCCTTCTAGAAAAGCTCCCAATTTACAGAAGGCAAAACAGAGGCCTAGCAAGTCCGTGGAAGAGCTAAAGCTCTTCTGTGTTCCAGCCAGGAGTTGTCTCTGAGGTGTATCCTGCTGCTGGTCGCAGGTTAGCTTGCACCTGCATTGCTCTCTGGGCCCCTGTGCAGGGCACAGGGCCTCCTGTCAAGAAGCAGTGCCTCTGACATTTGTCCTGGGATTTGAGGAGTATTGGTTTCCTACTATATTTGCTTTGACTCATCTGGCTTAGGAGAAGCAGAGGAGCTGGACACTGAGCACTTCTTTGTTCTTCTATCACAGCCGGCCATTGCCCCATTGTCCAGGTGGAGAAACTGAGGCTCTTCAAGAGGAAGACAGTGAATTCAGAGAGCTAGGGGCAGAACCAGGCCTCCAGCCTGAGACCCAGGAGACTTGCTATGTCCTGGGGTGTGTAATCTGTGACTCAGTCCCCCTCTGGCCATACAAGTCTACTTAAGGTTTCTGAAAGCAGCCAGCAGTTCCACACATCCAAGCCTTTGC